CACAACCAATACTATGCAATCTGTGTCTTTCAGCTTTCGACTGAGATGTGAAATTTATGTCCTGACTTCTTGTGTTCATTAAAGATCCATAGAGGGTATGGTCATTTCACCTCCCTTTTAATCAGTTAACTGGTTAAACATTATGTGAAAATGTGGGGACTCCCAGCTGCCACTCTGATGCACCTCCTCTTCTTCCCCGGCCCCTTCCTTTCTCTGATAGAGACAGCAAGGGGGTGGGGGAAGCGACTAGTAGACTAGTGTGTTGACTAGCCGATAAGCATTTGCTTATAGTCGACTAGTCAGTCACAGCCCTAGTCTCAAGGCATGTTCTGAAGGTCAGTGCATTTGAACTGTTTCATATTCAGGTGAAAATTAGTATTATATTAAATTTGTGTTTCTATTTAGATTACTTTACCTTGCACAAATGATGAATCCGAAGTACTAGTCCAGGTTTTCTTAACTCTTCCTGGATTTCCACTGAACTTAACTTGTGACATGCAAGCCAAATGTTGTGTACTCATTGCAAACTGGATATGGGTTGTATGAATGAAATGGATAATTCAGAGCTGGTTGTACCCAGAAATCATCTCTTAACCAATCTGAGACAAGTCTATACATTAGTTTCCAAATGTAGAAAAAGTAAGTAGCAGAAAGATTCAAAACATAGTATTGAGTTCCTCTGACTTTAATATAATGAAATCTTTAAGCTGCTACAGATGCTCCATTATAAAACAAATTTTGATAGGAAAACATATATGTGTTCTGGGTGCCTCAGTGTAGAAAGCGGGGAGGCACTTTCATGACACATTTGATAAAACTAATCTCACTGGATAAAGAACTGGAATACTTCTTTCCAGACTTGCTCTGAAAATTGACTGCAAAAATTGCATTGGCAGATTCAGTGGTAGTCTCTTTATGTATCTCTGTCAAGGACATTATATACAAATGTTTTTTTCTGTGTTTCATAAAAGCCACATTACTATTTAATTATGGGCACAGTTTGTAGTGTCCCCTACCATGTAGTATTGCCTGCAGTTAAGGTTGCCTGATACTTTACATCTTAAACCCAATTTTCATTTGCCAAACTTTGAATGTTCAGGCTGCGATTTTTCCCCCCCTGCTCTAGGGATCAGTGCCATGGTGGGTGGTTTTTTTTTTTTTTTTTGTCTTTCACCTAGTTTATGAAAACTGCCCATACTTGGCCAAGCCTCTGAAAAATCTCATTTTGTACAGTCTCAATAGAGACTTGTTGGAAGTTCAGCAGCTAAAATCTCCAAACGAGTCCTTCTATATTGGGTATGCTGCTGAGGAAGGCTACAGGGGCTGAGCAGGACTTTCCTGGATACTAGGGTACCAAGCCCTGGAACGAATCAAGGTGGAGGTAAGGAAGCAGTTAGGAGAGTGGAGCAGCAACCAGAGTTGAGGCTGAGGAAGCAAAGGCGGGTGAGAACCAGAGTAGGACATGGATCAAAGCAGAGGAATTAGATGATAGGAGCCATGGAAGAGGGATGGGGCAGATGGAAAGAGCAGAGTGAAAGGGGGAGTAGATAGTATTACAGGGGTCATCTAGTGCTTGCCCAGGTACAGGACTTGTGTCTAAACAATCCAAGGCAGGTGGCTATCCCGCCTCCTTTTGTAAATCTCTAGTGAAGGAGTTCCCATTTCTTCCCTAGGCATTCTGTTCTGTTGTCTTGCTATTCTTGTAGTTAAGAAAATTTTCCTGAGAACTAATCTAAATCTGCTCTGCTATAGTTTGAACCTATTTCCTTTTATACTCTTTTGTTGTAGAAAGCAGCCATTTTTTAAAATAGCCTTTCAAGTATCTGAAGGCTGCCATCAAATCCTATCTTCATCCCCTCTTTGTCTAAAGTAAACCTACTTAGATCCTTCAGCTTTTGCTCATATGATCTGCACTTGCATCAGGATCCTTTCCAGTTTCGCTGCATCTTTTCTATACGTTGGTAACCAAAATTGGACACAGTACTACAGCTGAAAGCTAACCAGCACCAAGAAGAGGACTACTCTCACTTCCCGTGATTTGCCTTCCATACCTCCATTAATGCAACCTAAAAGTCTATTTGCTTTTTGCAACAACATTGCATTAATGACTTATATTTAGGTTGTGATCCACTCCCATGTCCTTCTTTGCAGTGCTGTTGTCAAGCTAGTTTCCCCCCATTCTATATTTGTGCATTTGGTTTTGCTTCTCTTAAATGTAACACCTTACATTGTCTTTGTTGAATTTCATTTTGGTTATAGCCCATTCTTTGAATTCATCAATATTTGTCTGCATTTTTGTCCTGTCCTCCAAAGTACTGGCAATCCCTTCAGCTTTGAATCATCAGCAAACCCAATCAGAATGCTCTTTGAACTGACATAAAGAACTGGTCATGAATAAGGATGTTAAACACTGGACCCAGAACAGATCCCTATGGAACGCCTCTAGAGACCTCCCTCCCGTCCAATAACACTCCAATAGATGGGGGAGGAGAACAAGAGGTACAAGCTGGGAGAGCTAGAGTGGCTGGGCCACAGTGGTAAAAGTTTTTGATAATCAAAATCTGGAACTGAATTCAGGAGTCCTAAATCTGATCATTGTTTTGCTGTTACCAAATATCTGCAAAATCCACCGGCAAAGAGTTATCCCCTCCCTCTCTATTGGAAGGTCCACGTGAAGGATGGTAGCCTTCTATTGCGACCAGTCACTTTATTAGTTCAAGTCATCTGTGCTATGGATTTAAAGGTCCCAGCCTGGGTGATGACCCACGTGAGCATCAGTACAATTCCAAGTGAAGGAATTTCTGTTTTTACTTTTCCATTTTGATTTTTTTTTAAGAAATTGAATACAATAAAACCTATATTAAAATAAGCTTGCAAGTTGAAATAAACAAAACCTAGCACCATAATTGCAGTTGCTTGTATAATCTTAGTTTGGAGCTTTTGTGTGCATATATGAGGATAATGATTCAATGCTACTTTTTTCACAGGATCCCTGCCTCACTATTTTATGTATGCATAACGTATGTACACATTATCCTAAATCACTTCTGATCAACTAAACACACTTCTGTGGCCTGTTCAGCAAGGTACTTGTATTCATAGATTCCAGAGCCAGAAGGGGCCATTTTGATCACATAGTCTGACCTCTTGTATAACATAGGCTATAGAACTTCCCCACAATAATTCCCAGAGCAAATTTTTTTATAAAAAAACAACCTGCCTTAATTTAAGAATTGTTAATGATGGAGAATCTTGGTAAATTGTTCCAATGGTGAATTACTCTTACTTTAAAAATGTCTGCCCTTTTCAGGTAGGAATTTGTCTAGCTTCCACTTCTAGCCACCGGATTATGTTCTACTGCTAAGTGAAGAGCCTATTATTAAATATTTGCTTCCCATAGAGATACTTACATTCTATAATCAAGCCACCCCTTCAGTGACAGCTTCTCAAGGTGTCCAGAACTATAACTGACCTCATTATCCCCCTTCCTCAATAAGGGGATGTCTGCACTAGAACATTATTTTGAAATAACTAAATAACCATTTAGAAATAAGCTTATTCCCCGAGGAAAGCAGGAGTACAGATTTTTAAATAACCAGCCCGTTATTTTTAAATAATGGGCTTGGTAGTGTGGATGCTCCACTTAGTTTGAAATAAGGGGGGTTATTCTGAAGTAACTCTCTAGTGTAGACCAGGGCTAAGAGAGAACACTGTTATATATATCACTCAGTATCATTATATATATCACTCAGTTATATATCACTCAGTATCATTTCTCTGACACCACCAGCCTGTCAGTCGCCCAAACAATCTGTGTTCCACGAGCCTTTACTTTGCCTTGTAGGTTACAATAAGAATACCCCAGCCACTAAGCCTTTCTGAAAACACCCCCCTGTAGTTTGTCACTGGACACTCACAGAATGGCCAGATTTGCTGTCCTCAAGAGAACAATATACAGACATTTTGACTGATACCACTTAGGATCAAGTATTTTATAACACTGCAGCACAAAGATATGGTTAAAGTTAAAACAACCATAAACTAATTATCTAAGATAAAAGTTACGAGAGATACTGTGAGAGAACAATGGAACCGAAATGTCTAGATCTAAAACAATAAGGATAATATACTTCTTGTGTTTGTCACTGCTGCAACCACTGCTAGTCTCTAGTCAATGGCAGAGCCTGGAACAGAAGACAAGAATCCTGGAAGTCAGTCCCTGCTCTGATCACATACAATAAAAGCTCTATTCTCTGGCACTCAGTTACCCAGAAAGCTGAATTAACCAGCATTTCTGATATCTCCCAATACAAATCTTCAGTCTAATAACAGGGACTAGTATACTGCCCAATTTATTATGCAATTGCAAATTTTGTACTATACTTTTGTGCAAAAGAGGCAGAAAACAAGTAAGCTAGCTGCAATCAGGGATTTAGTCACAAAGGCAACTTCCAGTGTGTCATAGGGTCATTACAGATTCAGCCCAATCGTCTATACCTTCTACATCTCCACTGATAATTGATGTTGATCATGATGAAACCAAAGCACTGCAAGATCCTAAAATGCCTTCTGAACTCTCAAAGAAAGATTAAACTAACTATATTCAATATCGTTCTAGGGTAAATGTAGTTTTAGTGATCAGAGTGTAAGTCAGGCACTGCCCATAGTGATATGCAGTGTCATAAGATAATCAACTCTTTAGAAAACTCTACTTGTATACATCTAAGTGCCTCAAGAAACCAATAACCCTGCAGTGCAACCCTACTACTGGATTGTTGAGTATCTGTTCCATTTAAAACTTCATTCATTTATTGTATTCTGATTCTTTGAAAACTGGTATCCAGTTGGTAAAGTATAACTCTCAGTTAACCAGAATATTCGAGGGCCTCTATTCTCACAACATGCTGGATAGCTGAGCTTTTAGTATACCTTCTTAGTACATTAGCATTTTACTGCTATTTAAAGCAATAGTAAGACTTTTCTTTTTTTCTTTATCCTAGAAACTACCTCTTCAGGTTACATCTTGAGGATCTGTCTCTAATCCAGGTACGTGCAATGTATTTTCCTGTCTCAATTAGTTCTTGGTTTTAATGTGATGAAAAAGATGTTTTAAACTTGTAATCAAGCTAATCAGATGTTCTCTAGTGCACTGGACAGCTATTTTTTCAGCTTTGCTGCTCCTCATTATGTAAATCACATTACTCATTTTAATTCCAGATTAGCCTTTGGCCTAGGACATATATACTAGGGATGATAAATGTCGGTTAATTGAATAGTCGAGTAACCTCATGAAATTTTATTGGTTAGTCGACTAGTCTATAGTCCCTGGGGCTGTCAGCCACTGTATCAGAGGCAGCAGCCCTGGATGCCAGGAGGGAGCTGGTCCTCGAGGAGAGCAAGTTTAAAAACCAGCTCCCTTGTGGACCAGCTGCCTTGTGCTGCTGTGTCTGACAAAGACGCAGTAGTGCGGGGTGACAGCAGTT